AATTGTAATAAACCAGTTCAAGCGTATGCTAAACTTGAAGGTGAAACTGTTTGTTATTATGTTAAAGCGCTTCAAGTAACAATTGGTCGGCGAACTAGCCCAACGGATCAAATTGACCTCCACCTTGGACCTATCAAATCAATATCAAGACAACATGCACGTCTATACTATAATTTCAACATTCAACGTTTCGAATTGTATATTTCAGGTAAAAATGGAGCTTTTATTAATGAACAGTTTGTTGAACAAGGAGATACTGTGCAATTAGAAGACAGGTATGAATAGAATTTTGCATTTTTTAATAATGAATTTTGTATATATTGTTAATCATCGTCGTCATCATCGTCATCATCATCATCATTATCATCACCGACATCATCACCATCATCATCATAATACCTAACACACTTTTAATCATCATTTATAGGACAAGAATTCAAATTGGAGATGTTGACTTTACATTCATATTACCAAGCATTGAAAATAATATCGGCGATGATTATAGTAGTAATAATATCAATGATGATGGTAATAACGTAGTGATTAATGGGAAAAGTGATATATTGATAATCTTAACGATAACAAAAAATTTTTATTTTCTTTTTATTCAGAAGATTTCAATCCTGATTATCAAAAAATAAACAAATCAACACCATTAAAGACGACCAGCAGCATAGATATTTTATCCTCTTTAGCATCTGCCACGTTAATAGCATCACAACAATCCCCCGCATCAACGCCCACAATTGCAACTTTAAATAATTTAAGATATGATAACAACTACAACAATGATATTGAAATCGACATTACTAACATTCTTAATGGCACTAATAATAACGATTTATTTACAATTGCTACCAAAAAATGAAATATTTGACACTTCTCAATATCAATCCAAAGACACAAAGCCACCATTTTCATACGCATCTTTGATTGCTCAAGCTATCAATTCTTCTCAGTCTAAAAAATTAACGCTAAGTGGAATCTATACTTGGATAACAGAAAATTATCCTTATTATCAATCAGCAAAAAATGGATGGCAGGTGAATAATATTTTAGTATTTATTATAAATGAATACATTAATTTATCACATGTACATTTAATTAATTTTTTTTATCCCATCTACAAAACAATAATATGTAATGTAGAATTCTATTCGTCACAACTTGTCATTAAATACATCTTTCATTAAGATCGCACGCGATGATCATGAACCCGGAAAAGGTGCATGGTGGGCAATCGATCCAAATGGTGATGGTCAATTTTCAAATGGAGTCTACAAGAAAAATAGAAAGGCTTCTACCATAAGAAATCAAAGAAATTCGACATCACCTTATTCTATCGATTCTAACGCCATCATCACCACTACCAATCCCACTGGTAATAATAGTAATGATAATGATAAAAACAGCAGCAATATCAATATAAATAATAACAATATCAATAACAACAACAATGCTTCTATCACTTCCATTACTACAAAGAAACTAAAACCTGATAAATTTATTATTTCAACTACTAGCACCACTGCCGCTGCTAATAATCATAATCATAATAAAAATAATCATCATTATCATCATCACCATAATAATAATAATAATAATAATAATAATAATAATAATAATAATAATGATAACAACAACAACAACAATAATCATAGCAAGAATGAAGACGCGCAATTTAATCAAAATAATGATTTAAATGCTTTAGCGTCACCACCTATTGAATATAATCGTAATGATAATCTAAATCATCACAACAATCATTATCATTATCAAAATAACCATCAACAACGACAACAACAAAAATTAGATTATATTCTTCCGATAACTCCGACAGAAAGTAATAATAGTTCAGACGATAACACTATTATTACTAATACTTTTGATACCACTACAACCATCACTACTATTACTAATAATAACAGTGATAGTAATAATAATATTGACTCAAATAAAAGACCTGATAAAGTAGATAATTATAATAAAATGATGGCTACAACAACAACTATTAACAACATTAATTCATTGAATGATTTTGAATTGGGGGAAAAATTAAGCCCGGAAAAGTTATCAGCAGCTGTTGAGCTTGTGCATGAGCAATTAACTCAAATAACTTCTGCACCAATCTCTCGTACTTTTGTTACTCAAGTTACAAATCGTCTAACGCCTGATCAAATTGACCAAATTGCACAACTTTCAAATCTAAGACTTGGACAAAGCAATAAAGCTTCTTCATCAACCTCATCATCGCCATCATCAACACCAACCTCAACCTCATCATCTCTATCACTACCTTCTACAATCTCATCACCTGTTAATTATCAACCACCACCACAACAACAACAACAACCACAACAAAATGGACAAGCCAATGATAATAAAAGACCCAGGTCAAATTCTGATGATTTCGATGATGATGACCATGTTGAGCCAAACTTGAAAATTAATAAGGCTAAAATATAATGATAATTATTGGATTGGAGTTTTGATTAGAAAGTCGGAATTTGTTTGATCAATTTTGGATTATAGAGTTTATTAGGATTGATTGGCTGATTGATTGATTAGAATTTTTATATATGCATTATAATTTTATATTTGATATATATATTTTTTTTTTGGAAAAAATTTTCTTCTAATCATTATGATATCATAATTGATGCTCAAAAAAATAATAATTTCATACAAGAAATTTTTAGCCATAACAAAAGTATTTAAATTAATTCCCTTATTATTTATTGTGACTTTTATTTATTATATATGTTGATAATTTTATTTATTTATTTGTAATTAATTTCTTCGATCATTGTTTAAAAAAAACCAAATCCTTAGATATATACATACACACACAAATAAAAAAATTGTTATTTATTTATTATAATTTAAAATCTTTTTCATCAATCAATGAGGGTGTTCGTTTAAAGGAACCGTTTTGAGCACCCTAATATTTTAATTAGTTCAATCAAATATTTCTTAACATTACAAAAAAATGTGATTATTAGAAGAATCGATTGATCGTTATCAGAATTATTATTATTGATATTACTGTTAGAACTCCCTCCTTTACATATATATATTGATAACAAGAGTAATTTATAATTGTGTGTGAAAAAACTTCAAGAAAAAAATTGATGTATAATATCATTTACTTTAAAGAAAAAAAAATTTTTAAACCTCTAAAAAATTTACCAAATTCATCCAAGTCACACCTCTCATTATTATAGATCAAACTAAATCATTGATCAATCAGATGAAGTAGCAGTTAAAGGTGAAGGAGAAGAACGTCTTTTTGGAGAATGCTGGCGACTTCTACTGGAATCACGGTAACGATGATTATCTCTACTACTACTATATCTATCATCATCTCGATTCTTTTCTCTTGATCTGTATGGTGGTGATAGTGGTGAACGAGGTGAACGAACGGGAGAACGAGATGAATTTCGACGAGGAGATGGTGGTGTATATACGTCTCTATAATAAGGTGATCGGGATCGATCTCTGGAAAATGATCTTCTGTAGCTTTTATTATTGTTTGAAGGTGTAGTGTAATAGTGAATATGCTGTGTAAAATTAAAAATTAAAAAGAAAGAAGATTTGTATTTTCATACTTTCTGCAATCTCTGGCTCGATGTCCTGTTTCTCCACAATTACTGTAAATTTTTATTATTAAATTAATTAATTAATTAAAATATTTTGGGAATATAAGTAATGTACTTACAAACATCGATTTTCTTCATATCTAATTAAATAAAATAAATTATAAAGTTATTTTTTTTAAAATTTTCTATAAACAAATAAATAGACAATAATAAAACAAAATATTTATTTTTACCTGCGAGAACGTTCACCACTTTTAAGTTATATCAATTGATGTATAAAAAATAAATATACTTATTTAGTCATTACTAAATGTACGCAAGTCACATAGATGATTATATTATTTTCTCACCTTCCTGGCGGTTGAGGACTATTATAAAACAATTTTTATAAAAATAGCAATAAAGACCAATTGTATTATCTATTATTAAAATCATAATATATATATATATATATATAATTTTAATTATACACATACCAATCCCTAGCCCTAAAAATATGTGTATAAAATCAATGATATTTTTTTTTTTTAAAAAATAAAATCTTATAAGAAAAAAGTCCAAGATATTCTTACCAATGACCTAATTAATTCATTAGGGAAAAAAAAAAACATTTAATATTAATAAATCAGTTCTATTTTTTTTTTTAAAAAATTAGTTTTTTACCTATTTGACCACAATTAAAGCATCTTTCACGAGGTTGTCTATTATTATAATAACGTCCCCTATACCGACTTTCTCGATTTTGCCGCCAATTACTTCCTAATTAAATCAACCCCCCAAAACATATAAATTTATAAACATAGATGTATAAATATATTTTATATCAAAGTGCAAATTCTCTTAATCTCTTTAACTGTAAATACGTACCTCTTGCAACTTCTACAATAATTCTTTCATCATTCCCTGGTATACGTACACCATCTAAAGCCCTGAATTATAACTGTGTTAAAATATGGCAAGCTCTCCTTCGGCGATACTTCAAAAGACACCAAAGGCACCAGTAACTCCTTTTTTTCTCGCACCAAATAGCAAACACCATGATCTTTACATAAATACATATACATACACACATATATACATATACATTCATACATATACACATATATACACACATTACATATGTATACACATTGTATATATATATATATATATATACACACACATATATATATGTTTTTATATGGGCACCACAACAGGATCACAAATTTTATCGCAGTCTCATGTTGCACCCCCATTTTTTTTTGTATAGATTACAGCACCGCTCCTCCTTTTTTTATATATATATTTTTTATATTTTTCGCTCCTCACCTCATCGCATCTTCCGCATCTCTCGGATCATCAAAATGTATAAAGCAAAAGCCATTCTAAATAAAAATTTATAAATATATTAATTGTTTTAGTCATTTTAAAAAATTAAATACAAGCATGATTTTTACCTTCATCTAATAAATAATAGAAATTTTAAAATTAAAAAAAAAAGAATTAATTAGCTTTTTAAAATCATATATATATATATATATTAAATCGAATATGTAAATCCAATTAAATAATTACATCAATATCACGAATCCTTCCATATTTTGCAAAAGCATCATCAATATCACGTTCTGTGATAGATCTAGAGATTCGTCCTAAAAACCAATCACATAAATATAAACAAATCAATTATAAATTACAGGCATATATAATATAACAAAGAAAACTTGTAATAAATTTTAAACTAATCGATCAAACAAATCGATCAATGAATAGCTGTGTAAAAGTAACGTATATATACACATACCAACATATAGTCTTGCATAGTTTTCATAACTACTAGCACTCCATCTTTTATCGTCATTACCACCTCGTCGATCGTTATAGTAAGAAGACATTGTTTAAAATGACAAGTGATGAAAGTTTAAAGAAAATAAAATTGAAAAAACTATGAGGACGTAGTTATCCAAATTTTCGTGTAACGTGGTACATATAAATCTTATTGTAAAATAATCATCATTAAATAACATGGATTCTACACAAACAAATTCAAAAACGAAACCCAACTACTTTTTGAAATACAGTTTGATTGGACATAAGAAAGCTGTATCTAGTGTAAAATTTTCACCAGATGGAAATTGGTTAGCAAGTGCTTGTAAGTAATGTGTGCGCATGTTAGAAAGATAAAATTAATGCTTTATTAATTTTTTAATTTTAACTGAAAAATATAGCTGCTGATAAAACGATAAAAATTTGGAATGCAATTAATGGCCAATATGAAAAAACTTTTGAAGGACATAAACAAGGTGTTTCTGATATGGCATGGCGCAATGATTCATTGACTCTGTGTTCTGGATCAGACGATACAACTATAAGAATTTGGAATTTGAATATGGTATCTTGAATATAAATGATAAATTTGATTGATTTTATTGATATTAATTTATAAATATATTTATAAATTGCTTTTTTTTCACAGGACGAATCAATAAAAGTACTTAAAGGTCATACGAATTACGTATTTTGTGTAAATTATAGTCCACGAGGGAACATTATAGTTTCAGGGTCATTTGATGAAACTGTAAGAACATGGGATCCTATAAATGGTATTATAAATTGCTTGGTTAATTATAACTTTATCGCAACGTATTAAAAAATTCGCGTCTTTAATTAATTAATTTGAAGGAACGTGTCTAAGAATTATGTCTGCACATTCTGATCCAGTTTCTGGTGTACACTTTAATCATGATGGAACATTGATTGCTTCGTGTAGTTATGACGGTGCAATGTATTTATATATATATATTACATTTAAAAATTTAGAATTATTACGGTTTAATAAATTTTTATTTTAAAATTGAAATAAATTTTTAGACGAATTTGGGATTCTGATACAGGACAATGTTTAAAGACTTTGATCGTTGATGACAATCCTCCGGTGTGAGTAATATATATTATTTATATATTTATGATTTGCGATTTTTGACCAATTAATAAATTAATGTTCTTTCATGTAATAAAGTTCATTTGTGAAATTCTCACCGAATGGCAAATATATTCTTGCTTCAACACTTGACAACACATTACGGCTTTGGAATTATAATACAGGAAAATGTTTGAAAGATTATACTGGACATTTAAATCATAAATATTGTATATTTTCTAGTTTTTCTTTGAATACTGGTGGTTCTGGTAGTAGCGGTGGTAAATGGATAGTTAGTGGTAGCGAGGATAATAATATATATATATGGGATCTACAAAGTAAAGAGATTGTACAAAAATTAGCAGGTCATAGTGGTAATGTATCATATTTAAAATTTTAAACTAATTGATTACTTTTTATGGATTTGCAAAACACTAATTAAAAATGTTATTTTTGTCCTGTTTAGATGTCGTTATTAGCGTTACATGTCATCCTAAATATAGTATAATTGCATCAGGTGCAATAGGAAACGATAGATCGATCAAAATATGGTTTGATATGCAAGATGAGAAATTACATAATATTTCTTGATTTATGGCTTATTGATATTATTATTATTATTATATGTATGTATTATAAATCTAATTTTGTAATAAAGTCCATGTGATGATAAATTTATTTTTATTTGAATATTATCTAATACTAAACGTTACCTTCACAAACCAATCACCCCAACTGTTTAGAAAAACATTGGATCGCCGATCGACTCGGACAATTTAGATTTTCTCTTGATATCAATCAGCCATGGTTTATCATGGATAATATAATGAATATTTCTGACAGTTGAATTTCCCATGTTTCACGATGGCAATCTCTAAAATCTTTCAAGGAAACCAATCATTCTTAATATTTTAAATGCCTTATGATGGAATTGTAAGTGTCAATCGAATGAATGTTTTAACCTAAATTGAATTTTTGTGGATGGTAGATTATCTGCCGTTTAAATAAATGGTTCATATGTATCCTATAATTATAAAGTCGGAAAAAAAAATTAAAGTTCTGCTATAAATTTAGCAAATTAAACAACATTCCAATCTTTTTCTTGGATTGCAAGTACAAGCATGACAAGAAGCTTTAAATCTTTCAAGAACTAATATATTAGCGTCAAGAAAAACTATTCTTTCAAATTCGATTAATTCTCAAACACGGAGTTTCGGCATAATAGATGTTCACTAGGATTCGTTGTTGGACCAACTTAAAAAGTTGGTTTAAGGAAACATCCTTCATTCTCCTCAAATAATAATTACAAATATTTTTTAAATGTTGGTAATTTTTCATTCTCGTCCTCGCTGTTTTTTTTTGTATGAGCTCTTGATAATTTTAAATTTTAGTTTTACATGCGTTACCGGGAAGTGTTGATTATTATTATTATTAACAAGTAGCTACGGATTTATGACAGCAGCAACGTTGTGCGAAGTTCCGCTACAAATCCCGACTTACACAACTGAGTTAATGGGGGGTCATTTCCACCTAATTCCTCTATCATTGTTTCCTCTTGTAAATAATGGGTGAAAATTGCCATTATTTGAGTTCAAATAGATAAAAGGCCAATGTCCCGGTTGTACATGTCACAAGTTGCCAAACTCAGCCAACATTCTCCATTTGTCCACCACAGCGAGAACAGATAATAGAAGTTCTGGACTATCTTATTCCTAGCCCGACATGCTTTTTTCAGTTGCAAAACAGTACTTTTTTTTAGGTCTGGATAGATTTCTACGGCTGCCGGATGAGAAAAATTCATCTCCATACGCTACAACTGTTCTTGGCGATCCACCAGTTATTCTTGTAAACCTTCTGCTTTTTAACATGTATCTTAAAACGAAGATTATGCCAGCGCCTAGTACCATGAAATTCAAGCAGTGTTGGAGTGACAGATGAAAAAATTTGGGGGGGGGGGATTTTTTTGGAATAGTAATATTACCATTAATATGTTTTATGCGTTTCTAATACAATCAATCAAATTTTTTATAAAATTTTTAAATCATTACTACTATTATTATCAATGCGTTTTATGCAATCAATTATTATAATACAATGTTTTATGAGTGCCAATAACAGATTATTTTCGTAATTTTCATAGTTGTATAAATCTTTGTTATTTTATGCGTTTCAATAATTATATGTGATGTACTTATTAAATGTTATTTCATGCGTTCCAATGTAGTTATTATTATTGTATGAATAATTTACTCTTTACATTTTAAGAAATGCATTTATGCATTTAACAAAAATTTATTTACAATTCTTAGCCTATTTTGTACAAGTATTTTTTAAAATAACAATTAATTAATTATGTAACAACCAAGTCTTTTTTTTAAAAAACGCAACCAATACTTTACAAATCTTTTTTTTTTTTTTTGATAGCAGTCCTCGGACGTGTCCGAGGTATATATTTATTGTTTGTTTCGTTAATTGGCATTAACGCGATCACCAAAGCCACATATTGTTATTGTCCATAAATACCAAAGAAAAACATAAAGAACATTAGACCATCACAAAAGTTTTGAGGGCGCAAAGTAATCAAGAAACGACATATTTCCCGTGTTTTGCCAAATTTCAATCAACGGTCTGTTTTAACAAATTTAGAAAAAAGTATTAATACTAACTAGTATTAGGTCGACAAAATCGACGGATGATCAAACAAGTTTCGAATCAAATCGTAATCCGCACAAGTGGGGCTATATCAAGAAAATATAAAAAATAAAAAATTTTCCAATTGAAATCATCAATAACTAACTATATTAACAAAATTTACTAATACTAATAAATATTAATGGTTAATATATCAAAGGTTGACCATATCACGTGAATAAACAAAAATGCGAACGTTTCATTCCGTGCTACATGATAATCTGTGAGTGTATGTATAATGATGAATTTCTTTTATTTCGCCGTTTACTATTTATTATTATTATTACTTGCAAGTTGGATTCCGTTCAAAGTTTGTTGTTTTAAGGCGCAACAATACATTCCCATATTAATATGTGTATTACGTAGGATAATGAACACAGGCAAAACTTGTACATTTCATTGATGGTGGGTAGGTTTCATTACATGTTACAAGAATCCCAAAAAAGAAATATTTGTTTATTGGGGATCTTCTTTGCAGGAAACGGCCTGTATTATTACGATAATCACGAATGAATTGATTGATTGATTCATCATATATAAAATATATAAAGTAAAATTAGTGAAAATGAATTTATTTAATATTAATTAAATATTTTTTATTTTAGAATATTAATAGCATCATTTGAAAATCAGTTTAATGCACACACATGAAAAAAAGGAGAAAATTTTAGAGGGAAGAAGACTTTATATTTGAAAATTTCTAAATTTCTAAATGAGGAAAATGTGAGTAATATTTATTTATTTTAAGTCCGAAAATCATATACATAAAAATGAATGAGATTTCAGAAATATTTATAGAATTATAATATAATAAACAATGATCTTTCCTCTCGATAATAAATAATAAATTCGTTTTTCTTCTCCCTGTTTCTTCTTTTTTAAATAAATATTTGCAATAATTATATCGTTGAAATAGAGAAGAGGAATAATAACATCATAGTAATGGTTAATCAATCTTTTCACACGACAACAACATTATCATCAATCACTCCACGTTGGCAGAATTGCAATAATCGCAATAATAATAATCATTATCTTTTAGAAAACAAAAGAATGTTTCTTTCGTTTCCTCATGCCAGAGATATAGCCATCTATGCTGCTGGTGGACTGGTAATTATATATATATAGCAATTAGCAATATCATGACAATAACGAAATATATTATATTTATATTTAATTTATCAATATAATATATATAAATAGTTTTTGTTAGGATGGTGGATATTTATCGATGCAATTATTTACAAAACTATTCATAATGAAATTTCTCCAATTGCATTCGAGGATTGGATAAGTGGGATATTAACAACTATTGGAATGATATTGTAAATAAATAAATAAACATATCTATTAATTAATAACTAATTGGAATATTGGATATTAATTAATAATGACTTTTTTGTAGAGTGAATACAATTGACAAGTCAATTATTTCAGATGAGATTTATAGTTATGGTGAATCACGTAGGACGCTCTGGAAAGCGCGCCTATTAATACTCTTAGGATTTACATTGATGGCTTTTGGATTATGTGGTTCAGTGGTAAATATATTATCATTAGATTATTCGTGGTATTTTTTTATTTATAATGTTAACATTAAATCCTTAACTTCCAATCGTTAATTTTCAACTAAGGCTGTATTTGTATTGGATTGTATATTAACCGAAGCATCTGTTCAATCAATCCATTTTGGAATTGTAATTGTGGTTCAAAATTTTTGTATAATGATGAGGTAAAGAAAGTTTTTGATATTTTTTTTTTTTTAATTCAAACCACACAAGACTTGACTTTTTTATTTATTTTATTTTTAATTTTTTTTTTAAAAAAACAATAGTTCCATAGTTTTGTTAATAGCACAAAATTCAAAAGTTGATTACAAAGATTATTTTACGTATTAAAAATTATTTATTTATTTTATCTATTAATGTCAACTTTCTTGTTAATTAATAATAGTCATTATAGTATTTATGTAATATTAATAATAAATTTATTTATCAGATTTATAAAATGTGGCTTATTTTTTTTGAAGATGGCTTTGCTCAAAAAGTTTTCTATTATAATATATATATATATATGTGTGTTTGCATAGCCATCGGTTATAAAAAATAATAAATTAAATAACAATTATAAAAATATAAAAATATATAATTTTTTTAAAAAAGTTTTTTTAAATATGATGATGAATTTAAAATGTTATCGAAATAAAACTATATTACTAATATTAATAATAATTATAACAACAATCACAGTAATAGCACAACCACAAGATGAAGGAAATGTTTTTCTATTAGATGATGACAGTACTAGTAATATCGACTTTAAAATTAGGGAGGAGGTGGATTATGATGATTTTGATATTTACGATAATAGTAATTTTAATGACTACTATGAATTAGATCTTGACAAAGAGAACGATGATAATGATGATAATAATGATGATAATGATGATAATAATAATGATGATAATTCTGTGGTAACTATAACAGCTGTATCAACTTCTAGAGTTCCGGTTACCGTTACTATTACAGCCAGTGATAGTGTCGCACCATTGACCTCAACACCAAATGAATCAACAACAAAACCATCACCAAAACCAACATCGACAAATAAATCAATAACAGAATCACCACATGGAGCAAAAACAACTACACCACCAAATCCAGAAGCGACTACAAAATCACCACCTGGAGCAAAAACAACTACACCACCAAATCCAGAAGCGACTACAGAATCACCACCTGGAGCAAAAACAACTACACCACCAAATCCAGAAGCGACTACAGAATCATCATCGCCAGAAGTAGAAGAAACCACGAAATTGCCACCACCACCACCACCACCATCACCATCACCATCACCTAAGGCAAAAGATAATACAGAATCAACATCAATAAAAGCAGAAGCAACCACAGGATTGTCGTCACCAAATCCAAAAGCAACCACAGGATCGTCATCACCAAATCCAGAAGTAACTACAGAATCGCCACTTAATGCAGAAGATACTACAGGACCAAAAGAAACAGAATCATCATTACCAACAGAAAGAAATACAGAATCATCATCGCCAGCAATTTCAACAATAACGCCAATGAAGTCATCAACATCATTAACTGAAACGCCAATAGCAACGACAGCAGTTCTAATAAATAAATCGTCATCATCATCATCGTCGTCGTCGTCATTATATAATTCGACTAATCAAGTAAACGAGAGCAACAATGTAAAAAAATCACCGCTATCTAATAGATACGTGCAATTTGCAATAGCCGTATCATTAATTGTAATTGGTTTTGCATTAACAGCACTTGCATGTTATTTTTTCCAATCAAAAAGAAAACGCGTACTTAAATCCATTTCACCATCACAACCACCAGATGGACCGTCAACATCAACATCGCCATTACTGGTTACAAGAATGTATGAAGGAGATGGCGAAGATCGAAGAACGGTGATTGATTTGGGAGAATATGGACAAACTACTGCTTTCACTCCCACTACCATCATTGCAGGAAATCATGATGATGAAGAACAAGCAAGCTCCTCATTTTTAAATATTCCATCAGCTGGTGAAAATACTATTTATGGATCATCTGGTGGCTCTACTTCTATGGTTGATCTGGCAACTGTATCTCATCATTCATTAGAAACTCAAAGTGACGCACCATTAATGACTAGAGGTCATTCCGAATAAATGACTTGTAAATATTTGTGTAATGTGTAATCATTGTATTATTAATTTGTATATAGTAGATTTTATTCAAAGCTTTTGTTTATATAATAATATGCAATTAAAATAATATTATAAATATTTTGCTATGGTCCACGTCATCTAAAGACGACACTGAAATCGACAATATTTGAGAGCTAAAGGCCAATAACTTCCAAATTAGGAATTTTAGAGAAAAAAATAAACCGATAGAACTGAAGCTAAAACCTAAGTTTTCATTATTATTATCATAAAATTTTGTGGTTCAAAGTTGATGTTTTCATATACGGGGTTCTCCAGCCGAGAAACAAAATATTTCATTACTGTACTAAGTAAATAGGGTCTAAAATTTCACTTATAACTTATAGTAATAGTAACCAATTTTGCTAGAGCCCAATATTATATATATATGTCTGTCTATCTATCTATTATATTCTAACTTTCAATTCAATTCAATCCATTCTGATTATAAATCACGTGATATCTTTATAAGTACGCGGTTACGCGTTAACATCCCCAGAAAAAATTGCTTCGTGGCGCAGTTTAAAGTCAAAAGAGAAATAACAACCAATTACTAACATAATTTTTGAAGTATCCACATATCCACAATCATCCACTAACCCACAAACAATAAAATACATGATAAATAAACACATTCATTATAAATGAACGGAATGGACAGAAAAACCAAACCAGGCCCAAAGGTTAAAATAAACATTAATAACAAAACCACTGATCCCAAAAAAGAACAATTTGAAGAAGACTAGGAAACACCTGAAGTCAGATATGAAGGTAGGTAGATAACAATGATGGACAAAACAAAACAATCCCCCAGATATAACGAAATAACTCTTACAATAATACAACTGTCACCTCCACTACGACTAACACTGATAACAGCGCCGAAGATATCAACGAAACAAATGATCAAGACAAAATGGATTCAAGTTGAAAGGAAGTTGCATCACAAAGCATGTATCATGGCACAAAATGTAACTGGAAAAACACAACAGGGAAAAATCAATATGATTACTTTCAAATTGTCACAATTTCAATCACTTCTATAGTACACAGGACGTGTCCGTGTAACAATTTGTCATGCAGACGTGTTCGTTCATTTACTTAAATGTTCTGGACGTCCGGGACTAGTTATACAAGCCGCAAGTTAACGTGAGAAAATGCCTTTACCATCAACGTATTATTCGAACCAATATTAAATCAAGCCAAAGCAATTCAAACTCCATTGTAAAGCATGTATTGAAAAATTAAGAGAGAAAGGAGGGAAGAAAAAATGGTTTCCAAACAAAAAAGATCGAACAATTCAAGATCTAAAGAAATTTCTAATTTAACAAAAATAAAATATGAAGCGGAAAATTAGGTGCAACTCAATTAACTCAATTACAATTGTTTAAACAAGATCGAGAAAATAATATCACCTTTTGACCAAGCGAAATTAATTAATTAGTAATTAATAATCCTATGTTAATAATCCAGAGCCTTGATTGAGAGTAGAGGCAGAAAGTTGATATATATATATATATCAAATTATTTTCTTTACGAATAAATAAACATTTTCATAATTTAATAAAACACTTTTGCGGTCGGAGACTAAACAGTAGGTTTAATTGTTCGTTTGGTTATCAGAATGGTATAGAACTCCGAGGTTTTGGTTATTTGCTTTGGTAAAGAAAGCAAAACGTTTAATTTTTAAGCGTAAACGTTCTTGTTTAATTGTCAAGACTTATTGAAAATATTAAGTGTCAACAGTTATTGCTGATTTGCTATCTATGCAACGAGCTAATATTTATTAATCAAAATCATTATCACATATAGATTATTGTGTTAAATTAATTGTTGCTAACGTACAGATAACTTCAATCGGCACAAGGAAAGTAAAAGTAAAGTAAATAAAAAAGGAACTCAATATGAGCATTTGTTACTTCGTAGAAGGGCTGTCTTCATTTATTGTAATTCGTTGTTAATTGTACCATGAAGTGTGCTTACAGATACGCCAAAGCTTTTTAGGTACAAGAAAGAGGCAACAAGCAGAATAATTTCGTAAAATAAATAAATTTAATTGACGAGTTAGCTAAAAAGCTAACTCGAAGCTCGACCATAAGCAGGGTTGACTAAAAGCTACCCTGGTATTATTTACAAGCAAATAATGACAACTTACTTGTTTTATCTCATTTCAAGTACTCGAATACTTTTGATCTTAGACAAAATAATCTTTAGAGACCAAGCATGGGACATTGTGGTGTTGGTGGAAACACCTACCGTTAGTAAAATGCGGAATTGTTTGCTGTCTATGTATGAAAAATAAAATAGGAGACATTGAAATTATTATTATCATTAATAAAAATATTATTATTTATTATTATTATTTATAAAAGTGTTGCTTGTACTGAAATACCTTTAGTAAAACGTGGAATTGTTTCCAGAAACTGCAAGAGCATATGGAATAAATCAGAATACAAGCATTTATTTATTATTACGTTATTTGTGTTGAGAATACCTTTAGTAAAATGCGGAATTGTTTGCAGTCTATGTAAAATTTATTAATGAATTTTTGTTGTGCTACATTTGAGCTGATTCTGAGTCGACTCAGACGCTTGAACGGTTCGGTTCTGAAACCGGTTCGAGTCTGTTCCATTGTAAAACCGCCCCATCCCTAATCTAACAACATATGTTGATTTTATTGGTAAACATATACACATCTTTTACATTTTGACACCAAAAATTGTGATTTTACCTGGTGCAGATCTCACAACATGTTATATAGAAAAATTTCTGAATTTGATATTTATTGTGTTATACATTGTGTAGAGTTAGGAAAGGGATTGAAAATTAAACAGCTTCTGAATCAATCAGTCAATTTAGATGTAATGATTATAGCAAAGTATTTATTATATTTTTATTAAAAATGATAAAATGACAGAATTAAATGTTTAAATATATGATGATATTTAATTCTAGATTGTAAAGTAATTAATTTTTTTTTGTTATTTTGTATATTTCACATTCTTTTAACAAATGAACAAGTTTATGATTGTTTCTAAGATTCAAATTATTCTTATAAGAAGGCATAATATAATAACCATAATAACAGTAAGGTCTACCACCAATCTGTATATCTTAGTTTCAAATCTTGAAAATTTGCAAAAAAAATATATGATCACAAGTAAAATTAAGATTTCTGGGGTTATGAAATATTGCATACTTTGAATCTCTGATTCTACTTAAAATTGAATTGTCAAGCTGATTTTCATCAATCTTAAAAATAAAACTTTGGTCTGTTTCAATATAATAAGAAGCATCTGGTGATTTTTTTTTCAAATTGGATTGTAGCCACATACTAATTCATCTGTTTCTTTGATTGTCATGATTATTATAGTTTGTTCAATGTCATAACACTTTTCTTCAAATACAAACCTTGAAAAACCATCTTTAGTGCCTTGAATAGCTAAATGAAATCTGTAAGGCAGTTCATCTTCTTTATAGACATATTCTTTTGAATCAATCCAACTAGATATTAAATATTTCATTCTCAAATTTAATAAATCTCCTTCTTTTACCCTTGGGCATCTTTGTAATAATAATTTTGATTGCCAATTTGTAACAATCCTTGAAATAATATGTCACACAAATGGCAATTAATTTGATTACCATATTTGGTAATCAGAGGAATTCATTTTTTTTATCATTACTTGGCAATCGGGATTTTTTTATTAAAGAATTATACATATGTTATTATTGTTATCATTATTATTTTTATTAAGGAATGTGGATATTATATTGTTATGCTATATTGTGGGGAATATAATCATATTATTATTATATTTAATCAAAAAAGTTATCTTTAAATTATGATCATACTTTCTGGGAAGCCTATAAGCTTCCATACAATATATAGATTATATATTTATTTATTTTCTTATGATTTATTAAGAATTGTATTTTTATTATTTAAAGAAGTAAAATTCAAACAAATAAAGATAACTTTTATATAATTTTACAACAATAAAATTATCAGTTCATTACATTGTTAAATAAATATCTGAATGTTTTGAACATTTACACAATTATTGTGGTATATTTAAATAATTTCCTCATATAGTTCTTTATCAATGATTTTTTTATAAGGTTTTATCTTTTTGTACATTATCAAGCATATTTTTTAACTCCTCAGGATCATCCTTGCTCCATTCTGTGATATTTTCTTTTTCTAATTTTCTTTTTTGTTTTTAAGCTTTGGGTAAATGTTGACCTAACTCAATTTCTTTTCTTCTTTTTACTTGCTCCAGGTTTTCAATTCGTCTCACTCCCCATCTAACAACACAATCCCAGATATCCACCTCTCTTAGTTCTAAATAGGGTTTTTATTCATGGATATCATGAATATCATTAAGGAGTTACACACTATTAAAACAGCAAAAAATCCCTTAAAAACATGAGTTGATCACTTGATTTTAATAGTGTGTGACC